CTCGTAACCCCATAGTTGATGTCTCGTGACACGTACTGGCATTTCTACATACATCATAAAATCACTAAAATCAACCGTCTGGGTGTCAATAAGGTTTTGAAACGGAGGGACTATTGCTTGCAAATAGTCACTTAAGCAAGCGTTCCCTCTTGAGCCACGAATTCTGGAGGCAAGGGTGCCACTAAGAAGTGAGGGTACCCTTATCCTGCATCCATGCTGTGGACTCGACTTTCTTCGCGCGCCCCCCTTTCGGAGAGGCGCGAATTGGTCTCCTACAGTTCGGACTCCTGTCACGATTCTGAATCTAATCTCACAAAGTACAATGTGAGACTAATAAACACCAAAGAGTCCAATCCAGTAAATCATTTTGGAAAAATAGATTTTGAATCAAATAATGCCAAAACTGGACTGCTTTGCCAGATTACAGAGTCGCCACCTAAATATTTTATTTTTGGAAAATTTAGGAAACCCTGACTCGTGCCAAAGGCCACGTGTCCGTCATCACCAAAGTTGCCTCGGCTTGGGAACTTGGGTATGAGAGGAGAAGGTCTTGAAATAAGCACCCCCGCTCGCCCGATCAAAGGATCGACCTTTACTAAGCATGATATGTTGTTTTATAAACCTCATGTGTTCTTATTCGGTTATTAGCTAACTTTACTATGTGACGCACACATACAAGTATAGACTAAAATTGCAAGAATTAGAACAAAACAATTCATGTTTGTTTTCGAAAATGGTTTGAAAGTGCCACCCCAAGTGGGCTAAAGCACGGATTTACTACCAAACATGATGGGCTTAAAACATGGTGGTTTGCCACTTCACAAAGTGGGCTTAAAACTCACAATCATCGAATTGTTCCAATTTAAGCAACAAAGCCTTCACCCACAAGCATTCAAGTAGTTTAACAAATAAGCACATAGCCTCATGGCAAGCATGCTATCATGACAACACTCACACTCATGCAAGTATGCTAAAGCGTAAAACTTATAGTGTACTCCGAGCCAAAACAAAAGCTAGTTAGAAATATGCATGATCCTAACTATGCTAGATGCCTAATGCAACACATGCAATAATGCAATTAATAGGCTCAGCTATCTAAGATGGCATATGAATGCAACAATTGATACACGTATTCAAATAAGTATTGAAATACGATGCAGTTTGAATGATGCACCGAGCCCGGTGCATGCAAGACAAATGAATGATGCAAACATGCAAAGCATACAGTATGCTAATCAAAACGTGTCCTTAAACTAACCATCAAAAGAGGTTAAGTAAAAGGGAGAAAGACGTGGGATTGGAAGACATGCACACACACATGCACGCTTATTACAACATTGCGCCCTCGCGAAGGAGGGTCTGAATAAATAAGCTAAGCTATACTAAGCTAAGCTAATTAATACAAACTAACTAATTAACTATTCTAGCTAATTAATTATTACAAACCGAATTGAAACAAATAGTTATGCTAAGTTAATTAAAATATTACCACACAAACTGGATAATCAGCTACACTAAGCTAACCAAAGCAATAAGATGGCCTCACGGGCAAGGGAGACATGCATGCTCGGCTGGTTTCCTCCTGAAAATCCATTGCCTTGCCGCCAGTTGTCTCTGTTTGCACTCACCTTGTTTTCTAAAAATTGTGCCAATCTCCAGACTACCTTTGCTTCAAAACAGGAACCCTCTTGCATATAAATGAATTGGTGGCATATCGGCCACAAACGGTGACTGTCGGCCACCCTAACTGGCCGGTCGGCTAGTTAAAGTGGCCGGTCGGCCACCTGCTTTCCCAAGCTTCTAGTTTTGTTGCAACAGAGAACAACAGAGGCACAACAATGTATTTGCAAGGAAATGTGTGTACTACCACCCTCCTTATCATGCCTCAAGCTCAAAGTAGTATGGCACTTGGCTCTCAAGCCACCAATCAAGCACTTCATGCATGATGGCCAAAGGACCAAGCTTGTACAAGTTTAGTGAATGCGCACATAAGACTCAAATGGCCACCACCCTATCATATATGATTAAGGGTGATGGCGACCAAGAAACGTGACACGTTCCATCACTTTGAGTATGAAACATCTCACATTTCTTGTGTTTGGATTAACGTTCGATCCAAACACATGCAACGCAAACAATATGCTTATCTTAGTCATGTTTTATTTGATTCAATTTTATTTACTCCTTTTTGCATTACTAAGCCATTCTTTAATTGGTTAAGTCCAAGATGAGTGTCCTCTAATTGGAAAGATGGCCTAAGCCACAAGTGCCTTGAGCATGAAAGGAGTCTCATGCTGTTGGCTAGTAGAAACCCCTAAGAGAGGATTAAAGCCATTAGGCATGAGAGCCTCAAATTCATACTCAAGCCAACAATGGGCTAAAGACCACTTTCAAAGCGAATTGAAAAGTGAAGAATAAGAGGGAGGTAGCAGACTTTTCAGTGCTGAAATGGCATGCTAAAGACGCTAAATCATGCAAGCAATGAATGCAAGTGATGTTCAAAAGCCATAAATACTCAACTAGTGAAGAGCACTACACTAGAGGCATGCAATATCAAACTCAAATGACCAAACCAGCTCTGGACAGAGCTAAGACACGCCAAAATAGTGGCTAAATCATGCTGAGATTGAAGCATAGAAGGCAAGAAAAACATGCTCACATGTTGGCTCACAAACAAGGCTCAAAGCACAACTCTCAAAAGCAATGAAAGAGTGATATAAGTGAGAGTGTGACAGAGATATATGCTTTGAAATCACATGTGAAATGATGCTATGGCATGCAACCATCTCATGCAAGACATGTTAGAGGCCTTAAAACTCAAAGTTAGTCGAGGCCTTTGCACTACAACCATACAATATGAAGCTCATATGACCAATCCCACCCAAAACAGTCCTAAAACAACCTAAATGAAGTTCTAAAACATGCTTGAAACAAGCCAAGAATGGCTAGACTTAGAGGCCAAAACAATAGCACATGTTGGCAATTTAGCACAATTACACTACAAGCATACAAAGCAAAGCTCGAGTGATCAAACCAGCTCAAAACAGAGCTTAAACATGCCAAATCAGTAACTAAAACATGCTAAAAATAAACTAAGTTAAGCTACAAAAATATGCTAACATATAAAGCTAACTAGGCATGAAAGCTAGACACAAGGAGGGGAGGCCAACCCCTCATATTTTGGACTTCAAAACAAAGTTTTTACCACTGAAATAACTCTAAATTTCAATGGTTTAAAGGCCCAAAAAGTTTGGTTTAAAGGCCTTGAAAGATGGCACAAAAAGCTTAACAATTAGGCAGCAAGAAGGGTAGACTACCCCTTAGCACAAAAAGGCCTTAAACCACCATTTTAAGGACTAAAAAATAGACTTTTTTTCGGTTGAAAACCAGCTCAAAACAAAGGAAGAAGATGGCAAAACAAGTGTTCAAAACAAGCTTAAATAAGGTAAGTTTTATACCTTTGAAGCAAAGCACCACTTAGGCACAAAAGAGGCACCAATCCAAGCTCAATTCTCCTTCTAGAGCTCAAACAAGGTCTCAAGGAATCTCAGCCCAATGGTGGCCAAGTTTGATCAAGGATGTCTAGGCAAAGGGGAGGTGTGTCTCTACTTCCATGCACACTCTCTTCTTGTATGCACAAAAGGGCAAGAGAGAGAGAACTCTAGAGAGAGAGGAATGTAGAGAGAGGATTTTTAGAGAGAAAGGCTGCCAAAATTTGCTAACCCTTCAAAATGAGAGAAATGGCCTCCATATATAGAAAAAACACAAGCCTTGGTCGAAATATCTGAATTAGGATAGCTGGAGGTTGTGTAGAATAGCCGGAGGGAAAAGATCAGCAAAATATCTGAGTTTGGGACATTAGTGGCCGACCGGCCACCCTTGGTGGCCGATAGCCCACATTTGTGATCGACAACAAAAATCTACTCTCCAAGTCTGACTTCAAATGGGCATATCTCCTTCATATGAACTCGTTTTTAGGTCATTCTTATGCCTAAATTGAAGCCCCGGGAGTAATCTTTCCAAGTATGCAAAAAGATATGCCTCTTTTAGTGAAGACTGTTCATTTCCAGCTCAACCAGATTGATGCCTAACTTTCAACAACCATATCTCCCTCATCCGGACTCGGCTTTAGGAGATTCTTGAGTGCAAAATGAAGCCCCAGAAGTCCACTTTCCAACGGTTATCGCCTCATAGCTGAAATCCAAGTGTACAAAAGGATAGGCTTGATGTAGCGAGGGCTGCTTGACTCTCTCTTAACGGTTCATGCCCATCTTCTTCCCAACTTGGTTTCTTCCTTCCTCTCCTCCAATTTTCTTCAACCCCAAACCTCTAAACAAGGTGTTTTGGAAGATTTTTCAAAAATTTCACCTCTATTTCATGCATTTCCACTTTGTCCGTGCTCAGTTTATCGAAAAACGCAACATTTATCAAAATGCGAGTCTCGGAACATCATAGAAGCTTCTTTCAAAAATGTTTTGAAATAGGCGGTTTTAAGGTCTAAAAATCATTTTGGTCAAAATAGTTTTGTCCAAAAATGGGGTGTAAGGTTGGGATTTGACGCTCTCCTTGCAGAAGAAATTGAACCTTTACACTGCACAACTTTCATCACCAAGTAAACAATTAGTTGCGCCCAAGTCTTAAGAGCGGTCAAAAATGGGGTGTCTACACATGCCTACTACCCTTGTCAGTCCAGAAACCTATCTAGTGTACTCATGCCATCACCCTTCCACCATAGTAGTTCTACTTCCGTGGGGATTGCTCGTAGGTATACCGGTCTGCCCATAAGTCGGTTCAGGGTTGGGTTTGCATGTCTAACTATTTCCTTAGAGTCCCCCATTCCTTCTGACAAGTCTAGGACATAATTGTTATTTTCAAAAACTCTCTCAAACTTTGATGGGTCAGCCCCATACCAAAGAGAGTCACCAAAATTGAGTTCCAACATTTCCTTCACCACATAATGCCCAACATAGCTATAGAACTAATAAAAGACTATACCCATAATGACTAAGGTAAAATTTTCCTTATCCTATTTTTTAATAGTACGCATATTTTCTACCTCAATGTTTTTTTTTTCTTAACCATTGCTCTGATACCACTTTTGTTACGACCCACCCCAGTGCCTAGGGCTGGATTCATAACTAGTTAATTTCTAAAATTACTAAGATTAATTCTAACTAATTAAATTAAATAATACAGCAAAATAAAATATATGATGTAGATAAATATCCGAAATGTACATGATATTCACATTCTTCCTTAAGTTTCTTCACCTGAAAAGGATTTAATAGCTATAAGCACATGGCAAAGTGAGGAATATTATACTAAGAGTATAAGGGTATACAAATCACCATGGATAATTATTTAGGCTAAACAACGAATAGTTTGGTTCGAATAAATTATTTGAAATAATAGAGATATAATACATAAATCGTATATGCAAAACAATCATAACAACGGTATAAAAACAGAACAAAAGGTCACGAAGTGATTAATTAGAGGGCCAATGGTTATTTAAGTCTCCTAAGGCGTGGAACCATCAGAGGGTCACTAAAGTGACAATTCAGAGGGCCGATGGTTATTTAAGTCCCCAAGACATGTGACCTCAATGGTGGTACTTATAAAATAATTATTCAAAAACATATTTAATAAACAGTTATATCACTCTGTACACCACAATATTCAACCATCATTTAATAAACATATTTAATAAATAGTTACATTATAAAAGTTGGAGCTCCTCTTCCATAGACATCAATTTCCAACCATCGTTTAATAAGAGAATTCCTTTTGCCTTCCTCTCTGATCCACCTTGTCTTTCTCTTTACCTTGTAACGACCAATACGGTTCTCAGTTGTCAATGTTCTCAGATAAACAAACCTTTTGAGACTTTTTTTTTGAAAACATATTTGTTTTCCTTTTTAAGGTATTATCCAAACAAACAGTGGAATATAGTAAGAATGATAAAGTTATTCTTATAAAAAGTTTTATATGATAACATTTGTCAATGTAAAACATTTTACATCGAAATAAACAAAGCCTTAAAAACAGGAAAAAAAAAATTGAAAAATTTAGAGCTTTTGCTTATGTACTACATTTTCTTGTATATTATCTCTCATATTATTGTGCTCTATTTTCATATAGAGGAACTCACACATACTGTAATTGCAGACATTAAGAGTGTTGCCCAACAAGGAATTGGCAGATGTCAATGCATTGACTTCTTTCAAGGCTCTAGACATCCCATGTAATCTGCCTAATTCAGAGAACATAGATAGCAAATTTGACACAATTGTTATAGAAGCTAGAGCTAGAGCCTGTGATTTAACTGATCAAAGAATCGAGCACAATGATGATTATAGTCATAGGGGGTTATCGAACATGTGTGATTTGGTTAATCAAAGAATGGAGCACAATGATGATTGTAGTCATAGAGGGTTATCCAATAGGTCATCAGATATAAGCACCATTAAGTCCATCTTGGGATCCAAAAATGTATTGCTACTGATAGCCACACTGCTCACAACAATAACCTACCAAGTCCCATTTCACGTCCTTGGAAGCGATTCCAAAATGGGCTATGTTCATAACTACATAACTGGCACCTTCCAATTGAATAAACAGTATTCACTCTTGTCCAGTACATTCATGTTGTTTAACTCTGTTGTGTTCATTGCTTTGGTGGTCATGACCCTATTCCTCCTGCATGAATTTCCCTTCAAGCCATGGCCTCAAATCTCAGTTTTGGCTCTGTTTGGATCTTATATGTGCTTGATAAAGGCAATATCAACCAATGGCGCTGTGGCTTTGCTTGTCATATCAATTCCCTTTTTGTTATTGGTAGCTGCAAGAAAAATTTATGGCTTTGCAAGCTGGAATCTTATGTGAGCATGTGCAGCTATGTATGAAAAACAACCTATATCTATTTCAATTTGATCATGTTTTGAGAAAAACAATCGATCTTGTTCTGATTTGATCATGTTCATGCAGTCTTTCACAGAAATATCCAGAACAGTGTATGTTCAACTATTTCAAAATAAGTGTGACGATTGATTTGTAATAAAAGCTGTGAAAATATTATGTGCCCAAATCAAATGTCACTTACAAATTTTGTATTTTAAATATTGCAAATCTATTGTTAATGTTAAATGACTAGATAAACCATCTATGACTATCTTCCAACAAACAGACCGTTGCCACATCTCAACTCCTCCCTCTTTCCCAGCTCTACTCACCTCTTCCTTATTGATTTTCCTAAAATTTAACCACCAACGTCCATGACCATGAGAATAGGACTGGTTTCTAAAACTAATATGAGATTCAAGATTTGTGCATATGGGGTCATTAATAGTGCGAACTCGTGCCTTGCGCTATATATCGATGCTATATGTGCAATAGCTGATATCTGGTTAAAGGGTTACAGTTCATATGGAGAGTATTGTTAGGCCTGTGAGACTCATATAAGTTGTATTTTGGATATTTTAACTATTTATTTTGGGACTCATATAGGTTGTATTGGTCTTTATGTGTAGATTCATCAATACAAAAAAGGGGAATCGATTGAAAAGTTCTGTGCACCAATAAACCCTCTTGATTTTTGGTCCATCAAAAAGTCCTGTTCATTTTTAATTGTTACCACAAAGTCTTTTTTACTTTTACTTTTAGGGGTGTTTTCATAAAAAAAAAAGTATCACTAATTGTTAGTTTTTAGCAAAAGTTAAAAAATTTGTCATAGAAAAACATCACTACTTGTTAGTTTTTAATGACAATTGAAAAATTCGTCACAGAAAAATATCACTAATTGTCATTTTTAGTGACAAATTTAGAAAATCGTCACAGAAAAACGTCATTAAATGTCAATTTTTAATGACATGGCTAATTATGGTAACAATTATGCAAACTGTTAAAATAGTAGAGAGAGAGAGAGAGAGAGAGAGGAAATAATATATATTATATTCAATTAATTGATCCTATACAATAGAAGGCCTGCATCTATAGGCTGAAAAAGAGTATCCTACTAGAAACATAACTATGAGAAAGAGTACCCTACAAGAAACCTAACTATGGCAATACAAATATATTTAGGAAATCAATACCTAATATATCTAGGAATATATACCATATATACATTAATATCCCCCTTAAACTCAAAAAGGATAAACATCTTGAGTTTGGAGAGAGAAACTAAAACATGAAATAAAATTAAATAAAATAAAAGGCAAATAGATTGCAAAGTTTGAACAAGAGCGCAAGGGCGATTGAGAAATATCAGAGGCCGGAGCTAATATCGGGAGACAGTTTATGGTCGTGTCAGACCGTTGTAGGAACTAGCTGAAACTAATGCCGGGATAGTTTAAGGTCATGCCGGACCATTGTTGGAATTGACCGGAATCACTATCAAGAGAGTTTACGGGGTCATGTCAGACCGTTGTAGGAACTGACCGAAATCAATGTCGGGACAGTTTAAGAAGTCATGTCGGATCATTGTAGAGACTAAATGGAATCAATGTCGGGACAGTTTAAAGGGGTCATGCCAGACCGATGTAGAGAACTGAATGTTGAACCAACAATCGTGACACACACATAACTTATGACGTGGTGCTAAACGATGATGGTAACAGATGATTGAGTGCACCAGGAGGCGGCTTTGGTGGTACACCAAGGAGCGACCTCTGTCATAGTACAATCTTCCTAATAGCACTGCAACTGTTTGGCCGGCCAGGACGAAGAACGAATAGACCGCCATTCGGAGCCACCACATGTAATTTCCATGTGGAAGAACTACTGCTGGTTGGTGATTGACATTACCATTTTCAACAGTTGAGTAGTTTGCTCCCTTGGTTTGTTGTTCTTCTGCTGCTACAATTAACAATGCACACTTGAGTTAATGTTGTATTACCCCAATTTGAACTAAATTGATTTTAATAATGTGAAAAATTCAAAGACAAAATTAATACAACTGAAACCACAAACATCAAATTGACACAAACAAATAACAGAAATCACAAATGTAATTTGACTTTTTATTATTCTCTCCAAGACGGCCCTTCAAATACATATGTACAACCACTTATAAATTATAAGGATCAATTAAGTTTAGAAAATAAGAGACTTAAATGACATATGATAGATTGCTTTAACTAGTAATTTTTAATATACCTCACTTTCGTGTTGCATTCATTATTCTTTCTATATCATCTTTGTCATAGCACCAATTTAGGGCTAGGAGAATAAGACATGATTTGTTGTTTCAGTTCATATCTCAGCATTTCTAGATAAGATATGCTAATTGGGAAATTTTTTATATTTGTTTTATCTATTCTTCAGTAGGAGATAAGTGATTCGAATCTCTCTATCTATCTGTGGTGTGGGTCTTATTTCCTAAATATTTGTTTAAATTTCACTCTTCCATTTTAGAACTCACTTGGAAATTTCGTTGTACTAATTTGAAGTGAGCATTCAAGAAGTTTGGAAACTTCCAAAATTGTGTTATGAAAAATCTAAGAACACAGAAAGTTTTAAACATAGGATGTACAGATGTGACACACAAATGCATATCTATAAATGCGAATATTTTTTATATCACATCTATATATTCTGCGTTTAGAATTTTTTGTGTTTCTAACACAATCCAATGTGTGCCCCATGAAGAAAGGCTGATATTTCCCTGACATTTATTTGGTGACAAATAAGATTTTCTTTAAATTAAAGTTAGTTTTTAAGAATTTACAAACTTTTAAAGATGTGGTAACAAATAAGATTTTTTTTCTATTAAAGTGAGTTTTAAGAAGCTTGAAACTTCTAAAACTGTGCCACGTCTTGTCTGAAAATTTTAAACCATATTTCAGGTACATATCTAAACCTATAATAATTATTACTTTTAATATTCATAAGATACACATATCCATTAATTAGATACACATAAAATAAATTATAATTTTTAAAAAATAATTTAAAATTTAATAATAATAAAATAAAATGTAGATTTATACTTATTACACGTTTCTTTTTAAAAATTTAAAATTTTTATAAATTCTAAATCCCAAAACATTAAATTTGTTTTTGATTATTTTTTTTCAATAGATATAACTACTTTTATTCGCACACCTCTTTCGATATGTAAAATAAAAAAAAAATTACTATTTTTATAATATTCTTAAGGGTAAATTATAATTGCATCTTTTGAAATTTATTTAAAATACAGATTGTTTTATATGATTTTGAAACTTACCAAATACTTGTCAAAATTTTTTATTCAACAAAATTAATTGAAAAATGAAATTCATAGTTGTTTTCTTATATGATGATAAAATTAGCTGAATTAATAATTGAAATAAATTTATGATATCATTAAAAACTGTCACCTAATTTGATAATTTATTAATAAAATAGTCTGTTTGTTATGAAATAAAAAACTTAAAAGGGCGTGATGTAATTTTCGGAATCATACAGAGCAAATTATATTTTAAGCAAATCGCCAAAAGGGAATTTATAATTTACCCCATTCTTAAATACAAATTTTTATAACATAAAAATAAAGAAAAAGTTGTTATTTTTATGTAAACACACACACACACATATATATATTGTTTAGAATTATCATCATGTGGTTCAAACATATTTTATGTATGAATCTTACACTACACAAATACTACTTTTTAATCACACTTTTTAAATAAGTATATATATATATATATATATATTTAATCACACTCCCTAAATAGGTGTGATTGTATAAAATATTTCAATTTGATTTTTATATAAAATATACAATTCCCAAATCAGCGCCTCTATTCTACCCATGAATGATAGAGACAACTTACTACTAGAAAAGGAGACTTTAGACACGGAACTTTTTCACCAATTTTTTCATCTTCCTATCTCTCTGTCTCTGTCTCTCTTCTCTCTCTGTCTGTCTGTCTATCTCTCTCTCATCACTCTTTTCTGTCTGTCTGTCTGTCTGTCTCTTTCTCTCTGTGTCTCTGTCTCTCTTATTTTTCTCTCTCTCACTCATCACTCTTCTCTGTCTGTCTGTCTATCTATCTCTCACTGCTGGAAATTAGGTTTTTAGTGGCGTTTAAAAAACGCCGCCATAGCTATCAGAAACGCCGCTAATTGTTTTCGTGACGTTTAATATCAAACGTCGAAGATGCGGCCGTCGCTGTAGCTTTACGACGCTTTAAAAGCGTCGCTATAGTAGTGTAGGCGGCGTTTTTAAAAACGCCGCCAAATGTGCTGCATAACGCTACTGTGACGTCACACCACATTTAGGGACGTTTTAAAAACGTCGTGATAGATCTTTTCTATTTAAAAATATAACCATTGGCAAAATTCTATAGCGGCGTTTTAAAACGCCGTTGTAGCTTCAATTTTTTTTTAAAAAAAAAATTGTGCTAATTTTGTGAGATTTAACTAAAAAAATACCTGTAATAAAAATGAAAAATATTTAATATATTGACTAAATTTAGGTAAACATAATACTGAATCAATTCATGCTTCTCAATATGCAAAAATATTTCAAATCCAAGATGAAATAAAATTAAACCAGCGCCTAATGGTAAGTTGAAAGTTATTACAAAACAAATCGGCAGAAAAGATGTAATTCAAACTAATTATACATACAAGTACTATGAAAGACCAATGCCTTTCAGGTTTAATTTTTCCCAGGAGTGTTTGTTTCCTAAGAAATTGTTGGGGGAATTGGTTGCCAACAGGGGAGAATGGTTTGATGTCATGAATTGAACTAGGAATAGGACTCATTGTTTCAGTTTCAGAGTGACCCATTGCTTGAAACCCATTGAAAAACCTTGGAGAACCAAAGAAAGAAGAAATGGGTATAGTGTGATTTGGGGAGAGAGAAGCTAGAGAGCTCTGGTCTGCCATTAGAGCTTGCTTGGTCGTCACTGCTCTATATCTATTCCTCAGCATAATGACCAAATTAGATAAATTCCACTGCAAATCACAGATTCAGAACTTAAGATAGAGAATCAGAAAAAGTAAATCATCTTAAGAATTAAACTCAATGATGAGAAATGTTACCCGAAACTCAGAGAATGGAAAAGTCTCCTAAATTTCTTTAGCTTCCATGGCTGACTTTTTTTTTACTCCCTGATTTGTCTGTGTGTGATCTTGTTCCATCAGCAAGAACAAGAATCGATTGACACTCGCATGCAAGCCATGCAATCAACGTTGAGCTGCTCTGCCATTGACATGTGTGTTGTTGATCTATGGACTCTCAAGTTTGTGCATTGAATTTTCTCTGTTCTCTCTTCTCTTAGTGGGTTTTCATTTTCATTGTCATCAATTACTTATATGTTAAGTAGAGAAAAGAGACAAGTTAGAGAGAAAAATGTTCTATGGGCTGGTGACATTTTAAAGAAGGAAATCTATTAAATGGGAGTAAAAATTAATGAGTCATGCTAGGATACTAAATAGTTTATTAAATTTTTTATTAAACGTTTTGCATGGGTGTGGTTTCATATTTATGTGAATTAGCGAGAGATCTATTATCCAATGGTCACCAACGAGAACAACCTAATAGAGAAATCTATTATCAGAAAAAGAAGCAGATAACAATAGACTAGAAAGTAGCATATAAAGACTTGTTTACCTGCTTCACGCCAAGAACCAAGGGAATAAGACACTCGGGCTCAGTTGCTTGAGTAGATTCATCAATAAGGACCTATAAACAGATTGAAAGCAATCATGTAAACCAGAGCAGAAAAGATTGGCAATCCTTTATGACAGTAAAATGTTCACAAACCAACATTGGAAAGGATGGCTTGGCATGTTTTTCGAAAAGTTGAAAACCACTAAACTGAAAAGTAATCCTGCAAACTGGAATTTTAAAGAAACCTGATAGTGAGAAAAGAGACAAGTTAGAGAGAAAAATGTTCTATGGGCTGGTGGCATTTTAAAGAAGGAAATCTATTAAATGGGACAACCTTGGGCTATTGGGCCTAATTAATTTAATGGGCTTAAATTAGCTCCTCTTACAAGTAACAAAAAAGAAAAGAAAAAGAAATTCTAGGGTGAAGATATATGGTCTTATGTGGTGGCAAGCAATGATGTGCTGAAATATTGTACTATTCAAAACCAATCTTTTAATGGATTTTAGATGGATGGGATGTCTATCAAACAAGTTTCAAGTCTTCTGATGCATAGTGTTTGATACTAAAGTATCAGGCCATTTTTTGACTGTATTTTTGAAAGACTACTTTCCAGTGTGTCCATATTAGAACATTTCTTATAATAGTAGTTATGGGCTTTGCAGCATCCAGATTTGACAGTAACATCCGAAGAAAGAGTTCTTAATGCAATCTTACTATGGTGCATGGAAACAAAGGAATTTTATGTGTGGGACGTAGTGGATGAGATGATATTAAATTCTGTGCCAGAACTGTCAACATAAATTTCAGAACATAAACCTTACACTTTGGATCATTTACCATGTGTATTATCAAGAAATCAAGACAAAACACTGCTGGAAATTCAGGTTTTAGAGGCGTTTAAAAAACGCCGCAATAGGTCTTAAAAATGCCGTTAAATCTTTTTGTGACGTTTAGCACCAAACGCCAAAGATGCGGCCGTCGCTATAACTCTGTGATGCTTTAGAAACGTCGCTATATGACAATAGGCAAAGTTCTACTAACGGTAACATGACGTCACCATGCTATTTAGCGACGTTTTTAAAAACGTCGTGATAGCCCTCTTTTTTTTTCTCTTTTTTAATTGTGCTAGTTTTAGGTTATTGAACCAAAAAAATAAAACTGAAAAATAACACTAATATGAAATAATAACTCCCATTCACATAGTAAAATCTTATCAAATGATAGTCCACAATCATTGTGAAAAAAAAAAAAAAAAACATTCACACACAAATCATTTAAACAACATTAAGGAGCCACCAAAATAGGATGCCCCTCTATTTGAGACAAAATAGGAATCTGGGCATTTAAGCCAACTTGATATTCATAATCTCATATGCAATAACCACATTCACACACAAATCCTTTTCCTACCAAAGATCAACTCCACTCATATAGCTGTCTATGTTGAGCACAATCAAACCCCTCAGCATCCTGGAGGAAAAGTTAAAAGGAAAAAATTTAAAAATATGAAATAACAATAGTAATAATGATTTAAAACAACAATAACAATAAAGATCTTAGGTTATTTGAGTTGAAGTACCTTTGGGATTGGGATGTCTTTCCCATCAACTTCAAGCTAAACTTGCCATGGTAAGTCAGAACAAGTTCTGTCCATTATATCCCTTGCACCTTCTTTCAATTAGCAAATCAAAATTGTGTGTGCAAATCAAGGGAGCACACATGATGTATTTATCTAATAAAGGTTTCAAAACATATTTAGAGTATATAAGTAGTGTTATGAAGAATGTAAAACATTGTTATTATGAAAAGATTCAAAACACAAGACATGAAGGATTCAAGAAGTGTCAATAAAGTGTCCGATATTATGCACTTTTATTCTTCTTTTATCTCTTATCCTAGCTATGTTGTAACTCATCAACAATTTCTCCTGCTCCTCAAAAGTCCATGGGAATGGAGTTGATGCTCCCAAATCCATGGCATGAGTAGTTAAAGCAAGTGAATGATTTGAAATTATTAGAATCTCATGGTTCAATGGAAGCTTCCCATCAATACCAAGGTCAAGATAACTGCATAGCTCTTGAAGTCGTGCATCTAACCCCTTAAGGGCTGCAAGTTTCCCAGTCACCTGCAACGGACAAAGAGAACAAAGTTTATTTTATCTTTCTTCTTCTTCTCCTTCGTCTTCAATAGTCCAATTGAAAAGGAAACCAGAACAGTAAAGAAAGAATACCTCTATTGCAAGGGTGCTAATGGTTGTATCCTTCACATCCCTCAGCAAGTGCTCAACCCTGTTGAATAAAGAAGCCAGTAGAAATTAAAGATGAAGCTGATACAAAAACAAGTTTTATCTTTCTTCTTCTCCTTTGTCTTCAATAGTCCAATTGAAAAGGAAACCAGAACAGTAAAGAAAGAATACCTCTATTGCAAGGGTGCTAATGGTTGTATCCTTCACATCCCTCAGCAAGTGCTCAACCCTGTTGAATAAAGAAGCCAGTAGAAATTAAAGATGAAGCTGATACAAAAACAAGACAATATGCACATATATCATACATGTGAATTTTTTAGAGGCACTAAGTAAGTTGGCAACTTGGCATCTTCTTTAAAATCAACAAAGAATGAGAGCAGATGCTCAGAAAAAAGAAAAAGAAGATGCAGGAGAGAGAAAGAGAGAGAGCATCTATTTCAGGTTTCTATCCCAAGTGGCATACCAATTTCCTCAATTTCATGAGCGGCAATTTCTGAAGGCACATGCACAAATACCTTCTAGACCAAACATGGATAGTTTTTTTTCAAGGACAGAATTGAGAGATATGGTGGATGAAAATTAATCGACTTAGGCATTTAAACATGGATAGTTTTTTTTCTTTTCCCTAATGTAAGAGTGGATTAAGCAGTTATAACTCAATTTATAGCTCTTCCTAGACCAAACATTGGACCTCATACTTTAAATCCTATTAACTATTAGGTACTTCAAATAAAGTTAGTAGGCATTAAATCACACCACTTTTGGGGTAACATTGGCAAACTAATTCTTAATTATGGATCTGTGCAGCTAATAGACTGCTTCCAGAAAATAATAGTAGCATAGAAAAGTTTTCTTTGTCCATGATGACCAAATGGGAAGAAAAACCAAAGTAAAATTCATTGAGCCAAACAATAAATAGCAGTATCAGCCACAATAACAGACATTACTTGGAGAAGAGATTGTTGATGGTGGAACAAATGGAGAAGGGGCAAATGGTGGAGATCCAGGGCAGGGTTTCCCAGTAACCTTCAAGGACAAGGACACTACAGAACAACATTCTCTCTAACAAGAAACCTGATGGGAGTGAATAGTCAAAACGAGCCATTGTCTGGAACAGGTCCAGATAAGCCATTGTCACATGATCACTACATCTAGAAAATAATGTAACATTAGCAGTCCACTGAAAATGAAGGATATATTTGTGTATAAAATACCAGAACCTCTGGAATTTACCTCATTTCCTATTTCCCGTAGATATCTAATAAAATTCTGGAACCGATTTTTATACCCGTACACGTAACTGCAAATTCAACAGAAAGCAGGAGAGAGGTTAATGAAACCAAGTCAGGCTACAAAATACCTATCAGAGTTATAGTTGATGTTATAACTCCACACATCAAACAACAGCTAAGTTAGAAAGCTGACCAAGTCACGTACACGACTACAATTTACTGTTAAATGACCTTAAGCTACCAATGTAATTGGAGAAATAAACAAATTATAACTAAACCCCATACTAGAGCACAGTGCCAGACTTCCATTATAAGAAACAAATCCAATTTAAGCAATCCTAATCTATAGATCCCACCAAGATTTTTGCACAAAATGTTACAAACTTTACAGCTTTATTCCAAATCTAATCCACACCATAGATTCAACTTTGGATTAACAAAACAGTACATACACAAAGATTCTTGTATAAACTAATCCAGAAGTAGAATAGATACTCACGCAAAGGGATAGGGCTCAACAAAGAGAGCAGTTTAGCGAGGCCTGGAAATAACACATGGATATAAAGAGAACAGGAATATGCGACGTATTTATAAAACGTTGTTAAATATTAATAAACGTGGCGTTTAAAAAAACGCCGTTAAAAAAACGCCGCTTAAACCCATTTTAGAAATCACTTATCTTTTCATTATAACATGTTAACAGTGAAGAGCTTAGTTTCAACAATTAAAACTCATACTGCTTGACTAAAGTAGAGAGCACATATGAGTAGGCTTGAAAGAGTACAAACCTGTAACAGTTCAAGACTTCAAAAAATATGGTTTTGTTAATTAAATATTTATTATATGACTTGAATTATTGTCACACATGGATATAAAGAGAACAGGAGACAGTAAACTTTGAGGTAATTTCAACCACAGACAGTAGACTTGAATTAAATAGTACTAATTTCGTAGTATGCAAGTTTAACATGTGGCCATTGAAACTTCAAAATGTGGGTCTGCTTCTTACATAGTTCATTTACTTTAGTACTATTTACCCTTCAGAAATAATTATTTTCTTTGGCACTCCTTTTTAATCATGCAATGTATTGTGCTAGTTTGAAAATGAATTGACTCTATTAGCATGTTTTAATCATGCAGGGGGGGGGTCCAAACGAACCTATATTCACAAGGCCTCTTGTGTTTTGATGTGGGATGATGGGATCATAACACAAGCTCCTTTAAAAAGACGTTTAAATAAGAAAATGGAATTTGATGCATCAAATTGCACTGGCCATTACAACATACAAACAAAAGATTGCCCTGTAACATAAAGTCATTGCCCAAATAACTTAAAACAGGACAAATATCCAAATAGGTTTGATTATTGATGTCCTATAGTGGCCTTATATGAGTTAATTGACTCATTTCATAAACAAAGATCATCTCCACATCATTACTCTTCACTCTTCAGAATCCTTTGAATTGTAATATGGATGTTTGATCAACTTTTTTGATGAATAATATTGACGTCTTCAAATATTGAATGTTCACTAAATCAAACATACAGCAGAAAAAAATGTATCCAATCCTTGACATATACACACAAATTTCACATGCACAAACAAAATACATACAAAACACTGATGATCATGGAAGAGAGAGAGAGAGAGAGAGAGAGAGAGAGAGAGAGAGAGAGGGTACCTCTTTATTCAAAATTATGATGCTGCTCTTCTCACAGAGATTGAAGGCCCTAAAGAACAAAATCCACAAAAATATCAAAACGCCAACCCCCCAAAAAAGAAACGAGAAAGAAAACAAAAGAAGAAACAACAATTGAAAAAATAAATAAATAAATAAATAAAAATTATAATCTTGAGTCACGTATCGATTTTTTCTTTTAACTGGAATCATAGATCGATCAATTTCAATTTCATAGTTCTTGGATACAATTTCAATTTCAATAACCAAATCGAGAGAGACGGAAGGAAGAGCATGTGAAAGACAGAGAAATCGGTACCTCGCTGGTGCAGATGGTGGTGGCGGTGGAGCTTCGAAATCAAAATCGAAATCAGAGATTCAGATGAAATCGAAATCAGAGAAATCGAGCCGGTGCAGACGGTGCTGGCGGTGGAGATTCGAAATCGAAATCGCTCTGAATCTCAAAGATGAATCTGTGAGAATGATAAGGGCTTAGAGAGGGTTGAAAGAGGCGAGATTTGAAGCCGTGAGGATTCCAAATAAGATGAACTTCAAAATCAAAATCGAAATAGCCAAGATGAATCACCGAGACTGTATCATTCTGAGATGAATTGATCCATTGAGATGAATCGATTCATTGAAAGGGTTGAGAGAGAGAGAGAGAGCGAACCAGAGTGTGATTGAGTAAAAGATTAGGGCCACAAAATGAGTGATTGAGAGATTAGGGCTTCAGAGGCTCGCCCATTTAAGGGAGAAAGAGAGAGGACATTTGAAGGCGCTTTTAAGACGCCTTCTGTTATTGAAACGGTACCGTTTTAATATTTTTAAAAAATGACGTTTAAAAAACGCCGTCGAATATTATAAAACATGGCGTTTAATAAAACGCCGTCAAATAAACGTCGTCAAAACCCACATTTCCTGTAGTGTGGCAACTTTATCCCAATATGAAACTCTTAATCCAAATTCCCGAGATGACAATCTTTTGATATGGTATAAATATTCAAAGCAACAGCTAAAGTTTCCATTTTTATTTGTTTGAATCCCAAAATACACTCTTTTGATTACAAAGTTATTTTTGTGACTTTATAACTTATAGTACTAATTGGATTATAAGAGATCAGTTAAGACTAATATGAATACAAGTACTAGAAATAGGATTTATGAAAAAAAGAAATAGCCTTATTTAATTTATTATGTGATGTATTATTAGTGGGAAATGATTTATAAACATAATTTATCTATTTATACTATATATAAAGTGAAAATTGGAGATGGTGACACAAATATCTCAGATTTTATTATTTTTAAAAATAGCCTTCTAGCCTATTTAAAATACAAAATTATATAGAGGAAGCTGAAACTTGAAACTAAGACCTTCAATTTGATAGACAAGACTCTTACTACTTAAGTAGTACACAATATGTGTACTTTTAAATAAAAATAAAAATTTGGATTTTTCAAAATTAACAGCATACCCATTGGGCGGGCAAATAATACTGGTATACATAAAGTGCGTTAAGAATGATGTGGCATTGGCATGCTTGTAATTATAAGACACAACGGTGGGCGTTTTAGCTAAAAATAAAGGATCATAGAATGTCATCTATATGAAATTTCTGTATAAAGTTTTTGTTTGTATAGCATTATCCATCATTCTTTTATTGGTAATAGAAATGAGTGTTGAGAACCCCTTCAACTAATGCATTTATAACCCCTCCAAAAAAAGGAAAAGGCTAGAGGTTCCAAATTTTCTACCAAATGAATGACCAAACCTCTCACATGGGTGTGGAGCCCACAAAAAGTAGACCCCACACCCATGTGAGAGGTTTGGTCATTCATTTGGTAGAAAATTTTGTATCTCTAGCATTACTCAAAAAAAAATGATAAATTTAATATGGTATATAAATATGATCATTCTAGCATAACTCATCTAGTTAATGAGAGAATTATTTTGGAGAATTATTTTGGACTTAGTTTTTCGATTTGTATAGCATCTTCGAATATAAATTTTTTCACATACACTATAAGAAAATACACAATTGGCGACCACTTTTGCCGACTAAAAATATTTTGATTGCCAGAAGTTGTGGAATTGGCGACCAAAAATTATGTTAGCCGGTAAAAGTACAATATTTAGCTACTAAATTTTTTTAGTCGAGGTATATTAATTTTTGGCGACTAAAAAAAATTTGGTCGCTAAAAATCTCACAATTGGTGACTAAAAAAAATTTAGTCGCTAAATTTGCCACAATTGGCGACTAAAAAAATATTTTAGTCGCTGTATAGATAGTTTTGGCAACTAAAATAATTTAGTCGCCGAAACAAAAATGAAAATTTATTTTTTATCTTTTGGCGACCAAAATTTTAGTCGGCAAAAATGTAATTTCAGCGACTAAAAAATATTCTAGTCGCTGCATAAATACTTTTGGCAACTAAAATAATTTAGTCGCTGAAAGAAAAATAAAAATTTACTTTTTATTTTTGGCGACCAAAATTTTGGTCGGCAAAAATTTAATTTCAACGACTAAAAAATATTTTGGTCGCTGTGTATATAGTTTTGGCAACTAAACTAATTTAGTCGCTGAAAGAAAAATAAAATTTTACTTTTTATCTTTGGCGATCAAAATTTTGGTCAGCAAAAATTTAATTTCAGCGACTAAAAGATATTTTAGTCGCTGTATAGATAGTTTTGGCAACTAAAATAATTTAGTCGCTCCATGAAAAATAAAAATTTACTTTTTATCTTTGCCGACCAAAATTTTGGTCGGCAAAAATGTAATTTCAGCGACTAAAAAATATTTTAGTCGCTGTATACATACTTTTGGCAACTAAAATAATTTAGTCGCCGAATGAAAAATAAAAATTTACTTTTTAGGGCAAATTACAAATACCCCCCTCGAGGTTTGGCCAAATTACAAATACCCCCTGAGGTTTGAGAAATTATAAATTCCCCCCTGAATGCTATATTTGCATAACAAATTAGGAGGTTAATTTGTTATGAAATTTAAACCTCAGGGGGCAAATTGTTATAAAAATACAAACCTTAGGGAGCGGGATGTAATTTCCGAAACCTCAGGGGGGTACCTGTAATTTAGCCAAACCTCAAGGGAGGTATATGTAATTTGTCCTACTTTTTATCTTTGGGGACCAAAATTTTGGTCGGCAAAAATTTAATTTCAGCGACTAAAAAATATTTTGGTCGCCGTATATATAGTTTTGGTAACTAAATAATTTAGTCACTGGATGAAAAATCAAAATTCACTTTTTATCTTTGGCGACCAAACATTTGGTCGGCAAAAATTCAATTTGAGCGACTAAAAAATATTTTTGTCGCTGTATAGATAGTTTTGGCAACTACAATAATTTAGTCGTTGAATGAAAAATAAAAAATTATTTTTATCTTTGGCAACCAAAATTTTGGTCGGCAAAAATTTAATTTCAGCGACTAAAAAATATGGTAGTCGCGGTATAGATAGTTTTGGCAACTAAAATAATTTAGTCGCTGAATGAAATATGAAAATTTATTTTTTATCTTTTGGCGACCAAAATTTTGGTCGGCAAAAATGCAATTTCAGCGTATAGATACTTTTGGCAACTAACCTAATTTAGTCGTTGAATGAAAAATAAAAATTTACTTTTTACCTTTGGCGACCAAAACTTTGGTCAGCAAAAATTTAATTTCAGCGACTAAAAAATATTTTGGTCGCTGTATATATAGTTTTGGCAACTAAAATAATTTAGTCGCTGAATGAAAAATCAAAATTCACTTTTTATCTTTGGCGACCAAACATTTGGTCGGCAAAAATTCAATTTCAGCGACTAAAAGATATTTTTGTCGCCGTATAGATAGTTTTGGCAACTAAAATAATTTAGTCGCTGAATGAAAAATAAAAAATTATTTTTTATCTTTGGCAACCAAAATTTAGGTCGGCAAAAATTTAATTTCAGCGACTAAAAAATATGTTAGTCACAGTATAGATAGTTTTGGCAACTAAAATAATTTAGTCGCTGAATGAAAAATGAAAATTTATTTTTTATCTTTTGGCGACCAAAATTTTGGTCTGCAAAAATGTAATTTCAGCGACTAAAAAATATTTTAGTCGCTGTATAGATACTTTTGGCAACTAAACTAATTTAGTCGCTGAAAGAAAAATGAAAATTTATTTTTTATCTTTGGTGACCAAAACTTTGGTCGGCAAAAATTTAATTTCAGCGACTAAAAAATATTTTAGTCGCTATATGGATACTTTTGGCAACTAAACTAATTTAGTCGCTGAAAGAAAAATGAAAATTTATTTTTTATCTTTGGCGACCAAAAGTTTGGTCGGCAAAAATTTAATTTCAACGACTGAAAAATATTTTGGTCGCTGTATATATAGTTTTGGAAATTAAAATAATTTAGTCGCTGAAAGAAAAATAAAAATTTACTTTTTATCTTTGGCGACCAAAATTTTGGTCGGCAAAAATTTATAATTTCAGCAACTAAAAGATATGTTAGTCGCGATATAGATAGTTTTGGCAACTAAACTAATTTAGTCGCTGAATGAAAAATGAAAATTTATTTTTTATCTTTTGGTGACCAAAATTTTGGTCGGCAAAAATGTAATTTCAGTGACTAAAAAATATTTTAGTCGTTGTATAGATAGTTTTGGCAACTAAAATAATTTAGTCGCTGAATAAAAATTAAAATTTACTTTCACTCATCACTCTTTCTCTCTCTTTTTGTCTGTCTATCTCTCTCTTTCTCTTCGTGTCTCTATCTCTATCTCTCTTCTCTTTCTCTCTCTTTCACTTATCACTCTTCTTTGTCTGTTTGTCTCTTTCTCTCTGTGTTTCTGTTTTTGTCTCTGTCTCTCTTCTTTTTCTCTCTCTCATTCATCACTCTTCTCTATCTATCTGTCTGTCTCTTTGTCTCTCTCTCTGTGTCTCTCGCGCATCTCTCTCAACTGTCTCTGTCTCTCTGTCTCTTTCGTTCATCTCTCTTCTCTCTATCTCTCTTGCTCATCTCTCTTCTCTCGCTCTCTCTCATCTCTCTTTTCTCTCTGTCTCTCTCGCTCATATCTCTTATCTCCATCTCTCTCTTTGTCTCTCTCGTTTATCTCTCTTCTCTCTATGCCTCTCTCGCTCATTTCTCTTCTCTTTATCTCTCTCTGTCTCTCTCGTTCATCTCTTCTCTCTCTCTGTCTCTCACTCTCTATCTCTTTCTCTCTTTGTCTCTCTCTTATTTTTCTCTCTTTCACTCATCACTCTTCTCTGTCTGTCTGTGTCTCTGTCTCTTTTTCTCTTTGTCTCTCACTCATCTCTCTTCTTTCTATCTCTCTCATCTTTTTTCTTTCTCTATCTCTTTCACTCATCTCTCATCTCTCTATCTCTCTCTGTGTCTCTCCTGCTTATCTTTCTTCTCTTTCTATCTCTCTCTTTTTCTATGTCTTTCTCTCGATCATCTCTTTTCGCTCTCTTTCTCTCTCTCTTTGTCTATCTCTCACTCATCTCTTGTTTCTCTCTGTCTCTGTCTCTATCTCACTCATCACTCTTCTCTCTCTCTCTGTCTCTCTCTCACTCATCACTCTTCTCTCTCTCTTTCTCTCTCTATGTCTATCTCTCACTCTTTCTCTCTGTGTGTCTGTCTGTCTCCCCTATTGTGTTCACTTTGCTTACTCTCTCCTTCCTCTCTTCTCTATTTACCGAGCCCTTTACTAGGCAAAAATGCACTTTTAGCGATCACTCTGTCTCTCTCTCATTCATCACTCTGTCTCTGTCTCTCTCTCTCACTCATCTCTCTCTCACCACCCACCATTGTTGCCACTCCACCTCTACGACTACCATTATTACCACCATTGTTACCACTCCACTGCCACTACCACCACTACTATTACTATTACCTCTCATCCACTCCATCTCCTCTACCACTACCACTACCA